CCCAACTCTGAATAAAGAATAGCCCCCACTGCCATCTCTTTATGTCACGTCCTGAACATGAGGCTGGGCCAAACCTCTACAAGCCTAATTCATAGGAGTAGATACCAAGAACTGAAAAGATTAGGCTAGAGTTCCCCAAGCAAAGAGACTGACACCATCCTGCTTGGGCTGAGGCTTCTTTGTGGGAAATCTCCATTTATCCACCTATGTCCAGTCAAGAAAGGCCTGCCCTATTTGACAATCCTCCTCTGAGGTTCTCTTTCTTTAGTTGATTCTAATAATGAACACTATGCTAAACATTTGACATGTATGATCTCATTTTATTCCTACAACCCTGTGATAAATTATCCCCATTTTACATGTGGTAGAACCAAGTCTCAGAACCATCACATAATTTGCCTAAAACCACAGCTAAAAGAACCAGGACTAAAATATCAGCCTGTCAATCTCCAAAGCTGATGCCTTTACCTGTATAATTAATTGTGTTCCATGTATTAGTTCACTACCACCATGTGTCCTAGTGGGTGAGAAGGAGGGGGGAACCTGCAGGGGAGAATCAAGCTTCATGTGGGGACCTTGGGTGCTTCCTGACTCCACCTGGACCTGAATGTTCCTAAAAGTCATGCGCCTCAACACTTTCTCAAACCAAATTCTTGTAGCAGAATCTGAACGGTATCTGGGTCTTTATCTTTCTCCAAAAGTGATGCCCAAGGAAGACAGGGATCTTCCAGTTCCTTCTCAACTTTGACCCAGAAAGCATAGTGTGGGCATGCTTTTGCCAAGGGGAGCCACACTGCCATCTGTACCTTCATTCATTCAACAAATATTTATCGAGGGCCTATTGTATGCTGGACACATTCTAGGTGCTAAAGATACAACTTGGAAGAAGGCACAAAGAATTTGTAGCCTCATGGAATTTAGATTCTAGCTGAGTTTAAAAACCAAAACAAAACACACAAATAAACTACCAATATATATGTAGCAAAATGGACCTAATAATGACACTAGGAAGAAAAATAAAGCAAGAAAAAGAGATGGAGAATGATGAGAAGTGGGATTTAAAACATTCTTATGAGGGGGCCTCCCTGGGGGCGCAGCGGTTGAGTGCTGGGTTGTGAAGCTGCCTGAAGCCTCCACGGCGCTGGTTCCCTCCCTGGCTGCTCCCCGGCCACCGGAGGAGGGTCCCACATGGCGCACAGACCTCTCCTGCCACCCGCTGCTCCCCCCAGCAGTGTATTTGGGTCCTTCTGCCTGCTCTGCACCCTGCTCTGGCTCTGGTGAATTCTTTCACCCTCCCGCGCTTCTGACTGTACCCAGTGCTTGTGTAAATAAATAAATAAATAAACTTGGTTAGTTTTAAGGAATAGAAAAAAGGTCAGTTCAGTTGGATCAAGAAAGAGTGAGGGGGTTGTGATGGAGAAGAAAGTAAGGGCCAGATAGTCTAAGCTCTTTTAAATCACAATAAGGAGTTTAGATTTCAAAGGTGCTGTTCCAGGGTCTCAGGCATTGTGCGTACCTTCAGGTGGGGGTGCCTCTGAGTAGCCAGGGAGAGCAGACAGAGTGCATGAACCAGGAGCACAGGGCCAACTCAGTAAGTCAGCTCTGATTCACCCTTGAATGTGGAGCAGCAAATGAGTTCAAAGTCCAGTACCCTAGAGAGAAGGAGAAGGAGGGTTTAAGGGTAACAGAGGTGGAAGGAGCTGTTGACTCTATGTCTCTTTTGTCTTGTTCATCAAAGGGGACTTGAATTACCAATGAGTGTTCAAACATTTTAAAGCTGGAATCTCTGTGTAAGCAAAATCTTCCACAAAAGCGTACATACTATATGCCAATCTTCTTTCCAAGTACTTCATAGGTTTCATTTCACAGAATTGCTATAAGAGCTCCGTGACAAAGGCTCTCTGAATATCCCCCACCTTACAGATGCAGAAACTTAAGTTCAGAGAGAGTGAGAAACATTTCCAAGGCTAATAAGTACAGAGATGCTGGGGTGGAGCAGCGGTGCGTGAGGACCTCTAGGGAGGCACTTTAGTACCCCTATTGCTCCAAGGAAAAAGCTGAGAAATCAAAATTTCCAGGCCCCTTCCACCAGGATACGCTATGGGCTTACCTCCTTGGAGTGGAATTTTGACATTTGAGGGCAGTTACTTCAGCACTTGGTTTTATCTCTCGACTTCATTGTAAAAGATGACCTAGAAGTTGTGAGAAGAGGGAAAATCAGATGAATAAAATAGTAGCATGGTTGGGAAACAACAAAGTGGTCGGCAGGAACTATATGGGGACAGCTCCTGAATTTCTGGTTGGAAAATATGGGTTCCTGCAGCCCAAGGCCAGCTGATATTTTAGCTACACCTCAGTTCTGTAGCATCTCAGTCTCTGCGTGCCTGGACAGAGACCCAGACTGGCTGGAAGATGGTTGCTTCCCGATACGGTGGTTATTACTTCTGAAAGATGGGGTAATAGTAAGAGCTATCATTTCAGAGCATTTACTATGCACCAGCACTATGCAAAGCTTTTTGCATATATCATTCTATTGAATGCTGTCAAAACTCGTGAGAGGTGGCGGGCATCCCAGTGACCTCAAAGTTACTACGGCCTCCGTTTGACACTTACACAAGTTGAGGTTCAGAAAAGTAAAGTAACTTCCTGCAAATCACACAGCTCAACCATGTCTGCCTGACATCTGTGCTCATTCTTCTAAGACTTCATTGATACAGAATTTTTAAAAAGATTTGGGACTGGGGGAGACTCTTTCTTACTGTAGGGGAAACCTGGTTTATTCATCACTAAGGCTGCTTACATGTCCATCAACATTCTGTGAAAACATGTCCATCAACTGGCCCTGAAGAGTTTGGAAATAAGTTTGAGAAGCAGATGTCTGTTACAATTAAGTAGTTTAAGGAATTTTGCAAGAAAATTGAAGCCAGATGAAGATAAATCTTTACTTTTGTCCCCATACATGAATGTCACAACTAACAGGCATATCATGCAACGTGGAGAAAAATAAAAATGGTAAATTGTCATTCTGGGCATTTTTCCCTATGATATTTGCATTTCCATTTTGATGCAAAGTCCATTTTAGCAAAGAAATGTAGTCTTAGTCATTTGAAACTGCTCTTTCCAAATACTTGTAAATATAATAAGCACCAAGAGTAGATGATGCCAAGAGGGAAAAAAAACGATCCACCCTGGGTCAGATTTATGGTGCAGACTGAGTCAGTCATCTGACATTGACATTCAGGAAGGAAAAACCAGGAAAATTCTAAATTTTAGGGTATTTAAGATTTGTAAGGCATGGGGGGAGAGAGGGTAAGAAGGAATGAAATTGCATTCCCACTGGGTTGGATCAAGGACAGATTCTCCAACTCTCAAGAACCATTTTACATGTTCAAATCACCTCATCGTTACTGAGTCCCTCTTCCGCATGAGGCAGAGGATAGCAACAGAAGGGTACAATAGGTCGTGATTGCTTTAAAATTATTCATAATAGAAACACATTGTGGGACTTGATTCTAAATGTTAAACTTAAATTTGAGCAATTTAATTGCCCGTTGAATAGAAATGAAATCCCACCGGTAGGCAGTTATTTCTTACAACCACTGTGTGTGAAATTGAAATCTTAAGATACCATTTCAAATATTCACTTTCTCTAAGGAAGTTCTCCCCAAAGAGTTGTGAAAGATAAGAAACTGACCCAAACTCATAGGCAGTAATCTCTCTTTATACACTTGGGTCAAAATAGATGCATATTATTAAAAAGAAATGTTATGCCCCAAAGCTGGCCATTCTTAGGTTACCTCCTGGAAAGCAAGGCTATATTTAACAACTAACGTGAGCCCCATGCAAAACTGTAGCAAAGAAGGCAGCAACTTATCAAATTTAATAAAATCAAGCAGATGCAAACATATCATCTAGTCACCAAGATAGTGAACACTACAATGGGAAATGCTTATATGTTTTGTTTAGGAGCAATAAGAGATTAAGTGAAGAGACCCTGCTGTTTGCTTGTTAAAAATGGAATTGTCTTTTGAAATTCTGATTTTAAATCCCCATTTCACCTTTAAACTTAATTTCAAACTCTTTTTTCAATTTCTTTAACATTTGCCTTTTGTTATAACGTAGCAGCTGCCTTTTATGAGCATTTAATATATGCCAAATTCTCTCCATGCATTTCATTGCTTATCTGTTCTCACAAGCGTCTGTGCATACTTTGCATGTGTTCACCCACTTAATCCTCACAACAACTTATAATATGGGTTCTGGATCCCTATTTTACAGATGAGGATAGTGGAACTTCAAATTCCTGCTGTTAGCCCAAGTTCACCCAGGTAGGAAATGGTGGGCCAGCAGGCAGTCAGTCTGACTCCAGAGCCTCTAGCCAATACCGCCTCCTCAAATGAAGGAGCTGTTCTAGGCCACCTCGAGTGGATAAGTAGGAAGTCTAAATCACACCCATGCAGTTTGATTCCAAAGTTTTGGCATTTTAATTACCACATTAACTGGTTATAAGTAGGTAAATTGCTAATCCCAACCTACATATTTATCTTCATTTCTGATTATAAAGTGGTAGGTTACAAATTTATCACATAATTGAGGCTTGCCTAAACAGTCTAGGGGTTTTCTTTAATTATTAAAAACAAAAATGTGATCGGGAGAATGTCTTTTTTATATATTGAAAGTCTTGACTTGAATCCAAAGCTGCTTTCACACACACATACACCCACACACCCATACACACCCACACACCCATACACACTTTAATTACACCCATTAGGGACCCAAACTTTGAACATGGAGACAAGAAAAATAACAAAAGTATGCAGACAACAGTGAGTTCTAGTGATACTTGTGAAAAGTCAGTGATGATTTGGCTCTGATCAGGGAAAATGAAGTATCCAGAGATTCACTTCTGACATCAACCACCACTTTTCAGGGAAGCAGTGCTCATTCAGTGCCATCTTTAAAATGGGAAGAACATGTCAGTCTATTCCTATAGAACAATGGACTCTGAAATACTTCCTAGTCTCCCCATAGGACTTGTGACTGGCATCGTGCACAAGTAGGCCTTGAATAATAATTTCTGAACGCAATTATTCGCAAGGAACTCTGGCTAGGGCAGAGGGAACCAAAGTTTTTCTCCAGAGAAAGGCACTACTAGCCTCCTCTCTCCTGCATCCTTCCTTCTTCCTAGAACTTGCCTTGGAGATTGGAGTGCAAACCTGAACTCCCAAATCAAGTCTGACTTCTTTCTGTTTCCCTGACCCAGGGCAAAATAATCTCTCAAGTATTGCCCTCCATCATTGCAAAAACACTTTCTCTGCATAGAGTATTCCTGGCACTTTACAGGGGGCCAGTGTGTAACTGCAGGAGTCCGATTTTTGAAAGATGCTGAGGGAGGGAATTCTGCCGCCAGCAGATGGAGAGGCGACTCAGCCCTGCGTGGTCCCTCCCAGCCACCCTCCCGCCGGGATTAGCTGCCCCTGGCACTGCTCAGGCGCACCCCGCCCGTGCAGCCCCGGCTTGCGCGCAGCTCTGGTCTCCCCTCTGAAGCGCAGACAGTCTCCAGCCCGCAGCCTGCAAAGCCGCGCTGCCTGGGCATCCCCCTTGGAGCGTGCAGCGGACCTGGGACCTCGAACCCTCGGACGTGCGCGGTAGCCTCGGAACGCTTACATATCTGTCCGTGCTTATTTCCTATTCTTGCCTTTTCTTTCTTCCTTGAGCGACCTGCTGGTTACTTTCAGTCTTAGTTAAACCAAAGGGAAATGCGGCAGAGGGGAAGCCCTCAAGAATGGTTGAGAAGGCAGCGCAGTCCCCTCTCCAAAGAGAGGTGTGCGCGCTGGCTGGAGACTCTCCGGGTCCCCGCAGCTGGCCCCTTTAAGAAGCTAAGTCAGTCCTGATGCTGCTGTTTGTATTGCTAATCCCCAGGAGCCCCGTTTAAAAAAAAAAAAAAAAAAGGGAAGAAAAAAAATGGGGGGAGGGAGGGACCGGGCATCTGTCTCTTTAAATGTGATTTCCTTCTATTGTATTTGAATCGTGATCAGGAAAAAGGAAATGAAACCAGAGACAGAGGGAAGCTGAGCGAAAATAGACCTTCCCGAGAGAGGAGGGAGCCCGGGGAGCGAGGCGCGGTCCCCACCCCCAGGCCGCCGCCCCCCACCGCGCCCTGCGCGCAGCGACCCGGCTGGAGGTGCCCGGGGCTGGGGCGCTGGGCGGGCGCGCACGATCCCCGCGGGCGGCGCAGACCCGGCGACAGCGCGCGAGCCGGACCGGGCGGCGGCGGCGGCGGGACCGGGATGGAAGGTTAAGTCCTGAGCAGCGGCAGCAGCTGCTGCAGCCGCCCGGGGCCAGGCTGCGCGCCCGGGTGCCCGCCTCGGCCGCGGCGCGCCGGCTGCTGGGTGACTCGCTCTCTCTCTTTGGCGTTTGAAGGGAGCGCGGCGACTGTCCTTGAGCGCCGTGGGGCGAGCTCGCAGCCCGAGCGCCGGAGCAAGAGGAGGCGCAGGAGCAGCGGCGCCCGAGCACCCGAGGGGGTCCGAACCCCGGCCGCCGGTCAGCCCCGCGCCACAAAGGGAGCGCCCCCGCCGCCTGGCACGCCACCTCCCTCCCCAATGTCCTCGGCCATCGAGAGGAAGAGCCTGGACCCGTCTGAGTAAGTGTGGCCACTGCCGCTGTCACCCGAGGCGGCCATGGCCTCGCGCTCCCGGCGGCGGGGGAGCTGGGGGGCCGCCCCCCACCCCCCCTGGGCTCCAGGTGCGCGCGGGCTGCGTCCCTGTGGCTCCCTGCGCCGGGCACGGGGCTGCCCCCCTTCCGCTTGGATGGCTTCGGGGGACCCCTAGGAGAGAAGCCGGGCTGCGGGTGGCAGGGACTGGGGGTCGGTCCCGCGCTTCTGCGGGCCCCTGCAGACCACACGGGACGCTCCCCAAAGCCACCGCGGCCCGGAAAGTTTACACGCGAGCAGGCACAGGGGGAGCTCCGGGGCGCGCAGGTACAGTCCCAAGAGCGGTCAAGGCTTGATTCTGCCCCCCTTTCGCCTCCTCTCTCGCTCTCTCTTGAACCCCTTTCTCTTTGTCCACTTGATCTTGGGAAAAGGGGGGACATTTCAAGTGGAGGCCCCCCATTACTGAATGGCCCACCTCTGCGTCCGCAGGGGGAGAGGCTGCTGGTTGCACCTGGGTGGGCAGGTAGGGGGCCGAGCGGCCACCTAGGAGCTCTCTCAGACCTCAAGAGACTTAGGGCAGAATGCGGGGTTATTCTGTATGTAACCCCTCCCCTCGAAGTCACTGGGGGGGGGGGGCGGTGAACCTCGAAAGTTAGTGCCACCTTTTGCTTACAGGTGAGTTTTTCTGGGTGGCAGAATTCCATAGCATTTATCATATCTCAAAAGCATCTGGGATCAGGCAACCCAGTGCTCTGAAGAGCTTTGCCACAGTTGTTGCCTGATCCTCTTACTGGTTTGGAATGTTCCCCACTGCCAGCCTGTGAGTCTAGCCCATTCCTCAGCGTTAACGTGGGGAAAAAGGGGTGTTTAAGATATCATTTTCCCGTCAACGCAAATGCCCTTTTAAGATTCATTAGCTGTCTGGTTTTGAGAATTTTTATTCCTTTGAAGTACCCATCTAATCCTTTGAAGGGATTTGTTACACAGACCAAAGGAGCTGGTTAATGACTTGTCCATTTGTGATTTTAAGAGGCATTTGTTTTGTTTTCTCTTTTGCCTTAAAAAGAATTGTGCTTTCTTGATTGAAGTCACCCTCCCCCATCCCCACTCCCAATTTCAGCCTTCTGTGGTGTTTATATACCTGGGTTTTACCCTCAGTCACCAGCGTGAAAGCTCAGCCTGTTCTCATAAAACACAGGAAGTGCCATGATCCAATGAGAATATAAACATCACCGTTCAGTCTTGAAGGAGCTACGTTTGTTCTAACAGAACAACCTGTAAGGAGCTAGGTTTGTTCTAACAGAAACCCCAGCTTCCTTAAATTCTCAGGTGAAAAGTAACATACATTCCTTTTTAAAAGAATATGTCTATGCAAACAAGGGGTTTCAAGATAGTTTATCCACTTTTTTTCTCTTCTTTCCTTTTCTCTTTTTTTTCTTTTTACAAACCTAGCATTACAACTTAGCCCTGAGTTTCAAAGCCTGGGCAAGACCACAGTAATACAGTAAGAGTGAGCTGGGTGAGCTGGTGCCTCCTGCCTTTTCTACCAGCAAAACTTAGTCACTAAAACCTTTTATTAGAAGATAAATCTGTAGGTTTCAGTTCCCTGAAGGAAGTTTGCTCTTTTCAAAGTTTGTGATTTTTTCAGAGACTAGAAAATTGAAACATCCAACCTCATAACACAGCAGGCAGCTACTAAAGGATGCGCAGCTACTCCATCCGCTTCACCCTGTGCCCAGTGAAGACTGGCTTTGATTAAAGATGGACCAGCCAGTTGAGAAATTACCGGGACATACTTCCCCCACCCAGATCTCTTGGAAACTGTCAAGAAATTATTCCAGAAACCCAGACTGAAGTGATATTCAGGTGTCATCATCAGAGAGGCTCTAGGAAAATGTAAAATATTAATTTGAAGGTGAATCCCTTCAGTTATTGGCTTGGAACGTCCTCCCAAGATAATGTGATTTATCATTAATTATAGGAAGATAGATAGAGCCAATATCTTATCCTGTCCATTCCTATCTCATCTCAGGCCATTACAATTGCTCTTTTGCTTAACACTTCTGCTGCAGACTCTCCTGCTAGATGCTTCATTGTGTACTTACTCAAAGGGTCATGATGATAAGTAGCTCCACATTACAGACAGCAGCTTACCTAGGCACATGCAGATGAAACATTTCAACAGGAAGATGGCCAGAATTCATGAACACACAGGTTTCCTCTGTCTTGCAATCAGTGGCCCCTGCTGCCTCCCTGTGAGTAACAGGAGCAGTTCATTTTAATTCCAGGCAGTTTTGCACCAGCTAAGTGCAAATTCTCCTCTTTCACAGTTGGTTGGCAGCATCAGCATCAGGGCACCCAGTGTGGTTGAGGTTCTGTGAGTGTTTTCAGAAGCCCAGAGTGAGACCAGGGGCTGTGGAAAGAGAAGAGATGCAATTCTGAGGTGATGCATGTGCAAATACTGGGGATATTAGCTACTTCTCAGAAGGGAGAAAATCCTTATGGATAACCTGTGCAAACAAAGAAAAGCACGCCAGGCTTCAGTGAATTCTTGAAACTATTTAACATCTTGATTTTTAAAGAGCAAACCACGCTGGATTTTGCATTTCCTTGTTCCAAAAGGCAATAAGCTCGCGAAAGCCCCATCCTCTTTCTGCAATGTGTGGCTTGGGTTCAGCATCCCTCAGTGTTCTTAGTGAAGTGTGTGCTCTGCAGTCACCTCAGGCTATCAGAGTGTGTTGCAAACACTGGTTAGCTAAGCCTCATCACCCCTAAATGCATGGGTGCTGAACAGTGTGGGCATAGGCATGAGATCACCTGGAAAGTTAGTGTCAGCTGGAAATCAGAGACATAGATGTATGCCCTCAGTGTACCAGTGGGGCAATACCCTTTGGGGATTTCACAGTTGGAAACGCGTCCATTTTTAAATCATAGTAGAGTTTTAAAAAATAGGTTTGTCTCTGAGTAAAGAGCACTTGTTTGTTGTGACACATCAACAAGTACTGGGATTTTTTAGTGCCCCATTTGGTACTGGAATCATTTCTTCCACCCCTTGGTTTTCTTTTGGCAAATAAAGTTAGTTATTTAAAATGTTAGTTAGGGCCTCCCCGGTGGCGCAGCGGTTGAGCGCTGGGTTGCGAAGCTGCCCGCGGCCTCGGAGGCGCCGGTTCGATCCCCGGCTGCTCCCCGGCCACCGGAGGAGGGTCCCGCATGGCGCGCAGACCTCTCCTGCCGCCCGCTGCTCCCCTCAGCAGTGTCCTTCGGTCCTTCTGCCTGCTCTGCTCCCCACTCTGGCTCTGGTGAATTCTCTCACCCTCCCGTGCTTCTGACTGTACCCAGTGCATGTATAAACAAAAACAAACAAACAAATAAATAAATAAAACATGCCTCTATTAAAAAAAAAAAAATAAAATGTTAGTTAATTAAAGTCAACTGGAGACTCTTTTTCATGAAAGAAACTACAGCCTGGATGGAAATTGCAGAGGCTATTTAATTGCCTTCTGCTCTCTTGAAAACAATCATTGTCCTTCTCCCCTTTTCTTCCCTAAATCAACTTTATCCAAATCAGCTTTGCCATTGTAAAACTTTTGTATCCTTTATAAGTTTCACAATGCTCTCAGTCTGGGATTTTCCTCCAAGGATTCATTTGGTGTGAAGGATGGTATGTGGGGTTTCTGTAAAGAAAAAACAAAATAGTGAGAATTTCTATTATATCTAGATGGAACTTCCATTTTGGATAGAGAAAGCAACCGACAATAATTTTTAGTCACTTTGTTTTTTCTTCCACCCCTTCTGCTTTTGTGAAGTTGGGAAGGAATTGTGACAGGATGACTTGGAGATTCAGTTGGGGATTTGCATGCTTTTAGCCCTCTGGGCAATCTGCTGTCCTGGCAGCCAGTAGCCCTTTTAGTCCTGAACCCCAGTGAGGTTTTCAGCAGTGCCTTTAGGCCCTAGGGTTGGGGGGGTGTGGAGAGGAAAAGAGGAATCTTGAAGATCAAGAAGGTGAGTAGGAGGAGCAAGTGGGAAAAAACGAAGGGAGACCTGCATGGCACTGGGCTAGGGTTGGGGAGCAGCACCGGCCACAGTTGACCTGTGGCAGGATGGAGGCTAAGGCCAAGTACCCGTCCAGGACTGGACACCCTAACCCAGGACTGGCTGGGCCTCCCTGCAGGCTGTGCTGTCCTTTCTCATGTCTCCACACAAAAAAGCCAGTGAAGTCCCCTGTTGGGTCTAGAGCGATTCTTGACCCCCCCCCAGTTCTTGTATCACCAAGATGAGGTTGTCCTTAACAGTTGTCTTCTTTGCAGGGAGCCAGTGGATGAGGTGCTGCAGATCCCCCCGTCCCTGCTGACATGCGGCGGCTGCCAGCAGAATATTGGGGACCGCTACTTCCTGAAGGCCATTGACCAGTACTGGCATGAGGACTGTCTCAGCTGTGACCTCTGTGGGTGCCGGCTGGGGGAGGTGGGGCGGCGCCTCTACTACAAGCTGGGCCGGAAGCTCTGCCGGAGAGACTATCTCAGGTATCTGCCCTTCAGCCCCTGGGCGCTCAGTGGGGAGGTCACAGACATGGAGTCCGGGTCTGTCTCCCCCAGCCCCTGCTACCTGCCCAAGGGGGACAGGCCACTGAGACCGAGCCTCAGTTCCCCACATAGGAGCCAAGCTGACATTTCTTCCTATGTGACCAGTGGGTTCTCAGGAAGACCGTCCGTTACGGTAAAATACTAATATTTTGAAGGCAAGAGAAAGAGGAAACCCGTAATTCAGATTACAAGTTCCCTTTGGGGTGTCAAACAAAGGATAGCATTGGGGACAAATACACAGGGAGTGTTATCCTTTGTAAGTTTGAAGGTAGGTTCTTAATGCTCCCAAAGATACGTCGAGATTGCAGATATTCTTTTGAATGACTCCACTAGTCTGTGATGAGAAATTTAAGAAAAGAAGCATGTTTTCCCCAGCCTGTGCCAGTCATTTGCCTGTTATGGGGCCAAGGATCTCCTGTCAGTTGTAGGTTGAGTCCTGGCACATTGATTTCCAGATCTTTGACCTCAAGTTGTGAAACCTTCCTGAACCCCAATCTCTTCATCTGTAAAATGGGGAGAGTAATAGGACTGAGCCCAAGGAGAAGGGGAGCATTAGAAGGGAGGATCCTATAAAGTACCTGCCTAGATCCAGCAGTATCCATAGTTGTCAGCTTCTTGTGTAACTACCCCTCGTGAAATTATAATGAACAAAGAGATGTATGAATGGGAAAGAAAAATAGGAACTCCACAGCTCCCAGTGAGACAGGAGCCAAGGACATGTCTGATGCCCCAGGTCATACTATTTATATTGGCCATGGGAATTTTCTAGCAGGCAATGAGTGCCTTTGCCAGAATCTTCTAGAATCCCAGTTTCCTATTAGCTGCTGTGGCGGTAACTCCATGCCCTCTACTGTCAGATCTGTTCAAGTGCATAGCTGTCAGTTTTTCTGCCATCTTCCTGTGGCAGAGGGTCTGTGGGGCATGCAGCTCTAGTACATTAGGACCACCTAACCCGTGGAAGCTTGTTCAGACTCCAGTGCCTTGGCTGCCAGGCCAGCTCTTCCTCCCTTACCTGCCCTCAGAGCATTTAGCATTTAAAAAAAAAAATTGCAGGCAATTCCAGTAAAGGAAGCATATCTGTTTACTCAGAGGCTGATAAATAAGCTTCCCCACCTCCCCAAATTCCCTGTTAAGTCCTTGCAAATTTGGTGGTTCAGAAAAATAAGCATGGTTTTCAATGATCATGATTATAATCTTGACCAATTTTCTTTAGTTACAAGAAAATAGAGCTGGGAGAAGTAGAGACATGATTTTGCTGGCTAGTTTGCCAAGTCAGTGCAGAAGCAGATGCGTAAATGATTCCCATTGGGCCCTCTGACTGCATCCCTGTCAGATCATTTGAATCTTATTAAGTGAAGTGCAGAGAGAGTGAGGTCAAAAGAACCTGGCTTTCCCCTATCTCTATGGTTTTATATAACATTCAAGAATAAACCCGGTGCTGCCTGGGCTTGTTAATCTTTTCCATTTTTAAAAAGGAGAGAAAAAAATAGTCTGGGAGAACCCAATGTTAATTAACTTGTGTCTTGGTGACATGAAATAATTCTTCTGCCTGCTACATTCCTAGGCAACATGTTAATTAACTGCGTTAGTGCAGGCGTTTCCAGCCATCTTTTAATATTTATATTATTGTTATTAAAATGGGCAGGAGAAAGCTTAAGTTGTGACACCTCTCAACAGAGGGAAAAATCATGTGTTACTTTAGGGGTGGTCTGAAGCTGTAGGCTTTTGTTTACTTATATCCCCAACATCTGACTGGCCGTGTTTTGGAAAAAGGCAAGTTTGAAGAGTAGCTAGATGGGTCCTATTTAGATGGGATTCGGCCTTTCCTCCCCCTCGGACAGCTTCTCCTCATGAGGATTTCCAATAGCTGACTGGCCTGTTGCAAGTCCTTGCCAGACTCTGAGCCTCAAATATTCATGAGACCCCCCCCATACAGAAAGTAAACACTGGCTGCTGCGTTCTGTCACTTGGCACCTAGCAGTAGTTGCTAGCTTTTGTGACTGCCTAGTCCCCCCCTCAGATCCCTTTGTACTAATTTTCATCAATGTTTATGCACAGCGCATGCCTTCCACCTCCCCACCTGCCCTCTCAGAAAGGTTTTACTTTCAACAGCCAGCACCTACCTCTGTTGGCCCTCCAAGTATCTGCATGCCCCAGGCCTCTGAGGACCTGGGACAGTGGCTGGTATTTACGGGAGCACTGAGCCTGCTCCCTTGGGGGAGACAGGGCAACTTGGACTTGTACCCCAGATTTCCCTTGCCATCAAACTAGAGCTCCCCTCTGAGTGATTGTGCCTGAGATCACAACTTTGCTTACCTTTAAATCCTCGCCTCAGGGTCTGCTTCTGAAATTGCCAGCCTAAGGCATCCATTCACAGTGCAAGAGGTGAACGCTCCAGCTAGAGAGCCAGGTTCTGGTTTTTTTCTCACTGTGAGTAGAACCTCAGAATAGCAGAGCTGGAAGGGGCTTCAGGGCCCCCTTGCTTCATAGCTGAAGACCCACAAGTCACTTGTTCTGGGGCACCTGGCTAGAGCTGACCCTGAGTCCCGAGCTTGTGTTCCAAATGTTTGTCCTTCCTGCTTCACCCCCATTAGCTGCCTGATGTGTGTTGTAATTTACCCCCAGCTTCCCTTTAATAAACGCTCTTCTTCTTTAAGGGTCACACACCCCAGGCAGGTGGATTCATTCCTCACATACTGTTTCGTCAGCCATCTCTCCTTGCTCATGCCCAAACTCAACTTACTGAACAGTCAGGAAGCCAGAACTGTCTTTCCACTCTGTGACCTCCAATGTGGCGCTTCCCTACAGCTCTACCATCTGCTACTTTGGGATAAAATCTTCTCCCCCAGTAATGAGTTTGCTCCCAGGTGGTGCTTTGAAAACACTCAGAGATCTTCAAATGGAGAGTGGGATTCAGAGGGAAATTAGTTGGCCCCGGCTCTAGGAATGAGCTTTCTACCCACAGACCACATCTTCTTGATTCCATTAATTTTGCCTAAATATTTCAGAATGTGTCAACCGCCTTTATCTCCCCTACAACCTCTCCCAGTATACCCACCGATTCTCTGCTATTCTGAAGGGAGTGAGAACTTCCAGTGAGAACATTTACCTAAAACAGTCCTAAAAGCTTTATGTGGAAAGGATCTGTTAACAGATCCTTTGTTGTCACATATGTGTGACTTCCTGTAGCAAGACTGGTAGAGCTGGGCATATACCTGAGATGTGTGAAAGCAGAACCAGCACTGGCTTAGCCCTGGTCCATTGGTACCCTGACATGCTCCCTTTGATTTTTCTGACAGCTGAGTGTGTTCGATGCTATGATCTCTGCCATCCCACAAGCTCAAAGGAATAGTTCTCACCAGGGTGACTCAGGTACTCAGGGCTAGTCCTAGACTCTGAATCCTAGTCTTCAATAAAATGCCCGTTTTATTGCATTCTTGGCCATTCCCTCTCAAAGGGGGCCCCATACCCCCTCCAGAGTTGACTGAGCCCCTCTCTAAATAATCATGTAGGAAGGACCTTTGTAGCTTAAGGTGGAATCTACAGCACCCCTTCCCACAGGTGGGATTAGTGACTTTGATATGCTAGAATCTGGGGCCTCAGAAAGATGCCCATTTTATTGCATTCTTGGTCATTTCCTCTCAAAGGGGACCCCACACCCCCTCCAGAGTTGACTGAGCTCCTCTTCTAAAATGTTCTACCAGCACCTGTGCTATTCTACTCTTGCACAAACTTCAGCTTGATTCTCAAACTTCAGCCTGCATCAGAATCTCCTGGAGATAAGCATGCATTAACACATGACTGCTGGGTCTCCCGCCTGCCTCCCTATTAGAGAGGTCCGAGAATTTGCATTTCTAAACGTTCTCAGGTGATACCAGTAACACTGGTTCCAGAACTAGACTTTAAGAACCTTGGTGGTGCTGGCCTCCACCTTGTTGCACACCCTACCTTGGTCACTGAATATTGCTGGAAATAAGCAACTGATCAGCTGGGATTTAGGAGAATCTTGTCAATGCAGAAGAAAAGATTCCCCAGAGATTCATGCCCAGAGGGCAGCGAGGACCTTGAATAAAGATCTATGCAGTGTGGAGAGATGCATTTACCCTCCAGATCTCTGAGGCAGGAACAACTGCACCCCATGTTTTCTGTCCAACCCTCTGTGTCTTCCAGAAGCTGGCCCCCAGCAAATAATCATGTAGCAAGGACCTTTGTAGCTTAAGGTGGAATCAACAGCACCCCTTCCCACAGGTGGGATTAATGACTTTGATATGCTAGAATCTGGGGCCTCAGAAAGATGCCCATTTTATTGCATTCTTGGTCATTCCCTCTCAAAGGGGGCCCCCAACCCCCTCCAGAGTTGACTGAGCTCCTCTTCTAAAATGTTCTACCAGGGAACACACCCTACATGCCTAACCTCTTAAATCATTATAGCTGAGGGGCTCTTCCAAAGAGGAGGGCTCCATGGCAGCCCTACGGATGGAGTGATTGCTGCAGGCAGGGAGAGAACTCAGAAGGGATGGGTGACGCCAAACACAAATGGCATGGACTCCAGCTTTGTCCCTTCTCAGAAAGGCTCCTCCCCTGGGCCCAAGCCTCACCTGCTTCCTGACACCTGCTGTATGCGCCCATCCGCCAGCCCTTGCTCCCAGCCTTGCCTCTGCTGCTGTCTTCTTAGCTTTCCTTCCTTTTCTCTCCAGGCTTTTTGGCCAAGACGGTCTCTGCGCTTCTTGTGACAAACGGATCCGTGCCTATGAGATGACAATGAGGGTGAAAGACAAAGTGTATCACCTGGAATGTTTCAAATGTGCCGCCTGTCAGAAGCATTTCTGTGTGGGCGACAGGTACCTCCTCATCAACTCCGACATCGTATGTGAACAGGACATCTACGAGTGGACTAAGATCAACGGCATGATATAGGCTGGAGTCCCCCTACCCCACCCCCACCCCAGGGAGGGTATCATTTCCCTGAAGTCACTGTCTCCATGGGGGACTTCACTCACAGGCACTTGGGGGACTGGAGGGTGGGATGAGGCATTTCTTAGGGGATGGTAGACTCTCACTGGGCACCAAGATGCAGCATCCAAGGGACATATGGAAGGGACCATATGTAAATGTGACAAAAGGAACATCCTGTAGGGAGCACTTATGGCCCCTCTGTAGTAACTAACATGGCTAGCGAAAGAGAAGTGGGCGGCGTCAGGTGCTGTGGACCTTCACGTCTGCAGACAGAGACTTCTTAGCAGGTTGACCTTTGAAAAAGAAAGATGTGCAATTCTTTCTTTCCTGGCTTTTATAACAGCCCTTCCTGGCTTTTATAACAGCCCTGTCCCGGTCACTGTCCTCCACACACTGGAAGGACAGAGGAGAGTGGTCATCCTTTTATTCTTGGCCACCCTCCCAAGGCCTTAAGCTTTGGACCCAAGGGAAAGTGCATGGAGACAGATTTTAGATGCGAATGAAAGCTGCAACTTTTAACCAAACAATTATTTAAAGCAATGCTGGTGAATCACTGTTTTTAGACACCTTCATTTTTGAGGTGAGGCGTTCCACAGATTGTTTCTATACAAATGTAAATCTAAAACAAAAAGTCGCTCAACTATTTTATTATCTTAGATTATATCAAACTATTTGTTGTGTGTAGTTTAAAAAAAAAAACAACTCTGCAAACAATAAAAAACAACCGACTAAAATGCAGTGTTGTTTTTTTTGATAATGACTCACAATTTGGGGTGGCAGGAAAATGGCTTTTTATATTGTCACAGAGAAGTAAATAAGCAATTTACTTTTAGGTCAAATAAAAACTTGCGTTTATTGCTTGGGTTTATACCAGGCAGGCACGTTTCTATATTACTAGCAATTATGTAACAGGTCATCATGTAGCTCAGAGGGATGTAGAATAATTAAATTGTTATTGTAAAACCTGCATTTCACTTGAGCGTTGTACAGAATGAACGGAAGGCAAGATCATTGCCTTTGGGAAACCTGTAACCTAGAAAGGACACAAAAGCATAAAACAGATTCCCTTTGGGAGAGAAGGTAATTACCTAGTGTGAAATGTGGCAAAGATGCTGAGCTTGACACTTCGATTTTTCCAAGACGTGTGTCTCAGGGTATTTTATGACAAGTGGTTAAGAGGACCTTACTTTGAGGATTTAAAGCAGGCACCTCTGAGTGTTTGCCTTGCACCCTATTCAGGCTGCCATGAACTGACTCAGAGCACCACCTGCTGGTCATCACCTCAGCGCCCTATTTCAAGAAATGTCCCAAGGAATGACAAGCCTTGGTGAATATACTGCCTCATTAATTCATAAAAATATTGACCAGTACCAAGAAGTCTTAATGTGTTTAATCATCATGACGTCATCAACTGACTCGCACTCTACAGTTAATTAACTGATATTCCTTTAAGACCTTGGTCACTGAGATTTGGTTTGTTTCTTCTTCCAGAAGAGAAATAACGAGGAGTCCCTTGACCTGTAAGACGCTAAAAGTGGTTGGGGAATTTGGCTGTTTAAGGTGGCCTACTTAAAGCAAGTCTAATTATATTGCATTCCAACTCTCTGGGAGTCAGCAGCTACCAAGGAGGGGACACTTGTTCTAAGTCACCCGTTCTCAAATTGTGGTCTCTGAACCAGCAGTATCAGCATCACCTGGGAACTTATTAAAAGTCAAGATTTATGGGCTCCACCCCAGACAGTGAATCGGAAACTCCGTGAATGGGGTTCAGCAATCTGTGTTTTAACAAGTCCCAAGGACGATTTTGACTCATGCTCACTTTTGAGAATGGCTGCTTTCACACATTCCCCAGTTAGGAAGAACACGTGGTCTAAGTGAGTAAGAGCTTATATTTGACACAAAGACAATCCCTGAGTAGTGTTTCCACAAGTCGACAAACCTTGTTTAGCCATTGTCTCTAAACTGAAAAATCTTAGATAATTTTGTCACTCAGCTAACCACTGTCACCTACCAGATCACAATTCAAACCATCATTCATAACCAGGTTGACATGAATAATAATAATAGATTTTAGCTATGCAATTATGAGCAGTGGTTGGTAAAAATTTTAAATGATGCTTGCTTTGGAAATGCGAATTTTATTCTTAATCCCTGTGGTAACACAACACCTGCGCAATGCAAGAAATCAGTCGACTCCCTTGTCACCCTGCAGAAAGCAACAATGAACACATTCCACGTGTTAATGGCACCATTTTGCAGAATTGCAAATGCACAACCTGAGTCTCCATGATAAGTCACCCCAGAGCCCTAATGCCTAACCCACAACTGAATTTGAGAGGAAAGATATGTGAGGAGACTTAGCAAGGGACCAGCGCTCAGACTATCCTGACAGCCCTTGCCTGAACCTGCAACCCACACGCCTTAGACCCGGAGTCAGGGGAACCAGATACCCACTACCCTGGTGCAAGTCTTGATTCAGGAGTTTGCTGAGACATTTTGCTTCCTCTGCCTCTTTCATGTCTCTGGCCCAAACCAGCTTCCCTTTATTGCAGTAGAACTTCTACTTTTCAGGGAACCTTGGAATCCTACAAAGTTAAAACAGAGCCTTGGCTAGGAACTTTATCATCTGAAGACTTGGGTGGAATTGCAATGTTATGACTTCTTTTTCTTAACAACTTTCAGGCACTGACCATGTGCCAGGCACTACTTGAGGTATTTTACAAATATTATCTCCTTTAATCTACACAACAACCGTAGGTGGCAGTTTCTATTTATTGTCCTCTGCATTTTACTGCCAGGGAAACAAGCATAGATAGGTCTTCAGCAATAAATGACAGAAGTAGGCTGTAACCATGGCCCTCATCCTGGTGCTCTGTTACCTTTCTCTTAGAAACCTGAAGCTCAAGTTTCTCATCTGCAAAACAGAGACAATTAATACCTTTCTCCCTAGGTTATTTCAAAACATTTGAGTTCAGCCTAGCCAGAAATATAACCAAAACACAAGATTAGCACCATAATAAAGATAAGTAAATAGTACTATTATAACACAGATAAGGGAACAATTAAATCAGCCCAGGGGTGACAGTCTGGGGGTCAAGAGTAGGTGACATTTCAAATGACCTTGGATCAGAAAGGAGGTTACACAGGCAGGAACAAGACTCAGAGATCTTGGGGCCTCCCTGATGGCACAAGAGGTTAGGTCTCAGCACTATGAAGCTATCTGCAGCCACTGCAACACTACTTCAATCCCCAACCAGGGAGGTGACCCACATGGTACAGCAGACCTCTCCTGTCTCGCCCACTTCTCCCCTAAGCAGTGTATTTCAGTAGATCCGTAGATCTTCCTGTTCTGTTTCCCACTCTGTTTCTGGTGAATCCTCTCCCCACCCCAGCTCTTGTTTGCATAAATAAATCAATCTTTGTTTAAAAAAAGACACAGAGACCTTGGCCTTGCAGAGCAAGTAGTCAGGTGAGCCCAGAGCTTCCCTGGAGATGGTGGTAGCAGTACTGGGCACCGGCTGGAGAGTGGCTGGGGTGGGAGGTAAAAGGGTTTAAACTCTGGTTCTGTCATTTTCTGGTGGGATCACCTCTGATTGTCAGTCCCCTTATAGGAGGATACTATCATGTCAGGCACAAGATCTTGACACAGTGACCATTGCTGATTTGACATTGAACCCTCTGCTCCAACCCCTCCTCTTCCAGTGTGCCGCCTCTTATAAGCGGTTTTCAAACTCTAGTGCTCAGGAGTCTCCTGATTAATAAGAGAGGTTGTCAGTCTGAAGGCCCCTGGACTGTCCTACAAATGCACAGAACCAGGATCTCTTAGGTGGGACCCAGGGGTCTACAGGCCTGCAAGCAATCCCCTCCTTTGCTGTTGCAGTTTGTGCAGGTTATTTCCTGACTTGATTAAGCTGTAAACGCTAGAGTTCCTAGAGGGCAGAGACAGTGTCACCGCTTGTCCCTATGACCAGACCCTAGCACTTGCCTGGCACCCACTAAGCATTTATGTGTTAATGAAATAACTTCTTGACTCCCCTCGCAGCTTCCACAGCAGTTCTTGCCCAAAATATTTTCTTTGATTTTCAACTCTGTTCTTTTCTTTAAAATTTCATTTGGTAAGGCGGCCTTGTCTCAAATTAGCCTGTGCATTCTTCAGCATCGCTTACAACAATTAGGCCAATGTTTTCCATATGGGAAAGAAGGAATAAATATTTAAGGGATGGGTAAGAGGGAGGGCTGGTGAGACTTTCCACAATGTTGAGACTGAATAGCAAATAAAATTCAAAATAATAAGCATACCCCAGGAATCTTGGGCAGGAGAAATGGAGGTATAATATGAACCTGGAACATTTTATTATGCCCAAATATAAGGAAGTGCTAAAAAAAATTTACATAAACATGTCACAAGAAGTCAGATTGGAAGATCTATTAATGGTCAAATCAGGGACAGTTTACCAAAATAATTAAGGGTAGTAATGAGTTATACACCACTGGGGGAGAAATAAGCATTCATGAGCTGATATCAATAATAAATAAAAAAGCAGACTCTTGAGGGCCTCCCCAGTGGCACAGCAGGTTGAGCACAGTGCTGTGAAGCTGTCCACAGCCTCTGCAGTGCCAGTTCGATTCCCGGCCAGCCAGGGAGATTCCCACATGGTACAGCAGACTTCTGTCTCACCCGCTGCTCCCTTCAGCAGTGTACTTCGGTCCTCCTGCCTGTTCTGCTCCCTGCTCTGTCTCTGATGGATTCTCTCACCCTTGCCTCTGGCCTGTACCCCAGTGCTTGTATAAATAAATAAATCTTTTTTTAAAAAAAAGCAGACTCTTGAGTGTCAGCAGCTAAATGTAAAGAGAATGTGGGGGTTGAAAAAAAAATCATCATTTACAACTGTCATAGTTAAACGATAACATCAAGAAGAATCATCAATAGTCACTAAATTCAACAAGGAGCAAGATCTTGGGTGATCTTCAAGTGCCATCCCAGGTGCAAGGAGAAAACCAGTCATCACACAGGAGAAACTGGACAGTACCTTGACCAGGTGGCCAATGAGGGGCAGATGGACATGTGCCTCCAGATGTGACACCCTCAAGGACACAGCATCACTCTTTAGTATTCCACCTGAGAATGCATAACCTGAATCTAATTATGAGACAAATTCTCTTCTCAAAATGATGAACGTTATACTGAAAGGGAGGGGAGAGGTAGTGATTTCAATTCTTCCAAAACGCCCGTGTCATCAAAGACAACGACAGGTTGTAGGATACCTGACAACTAAATTCAATGCCTAGATCCAGCACCAGAGGGAAGGAAATGCTCTATAAGGCATCACTGGATCAGGTGAAAAAAACAAAAAATGAGTGGGCAGATTAATTCAAAGAATGGCATAATTGTTAAATTTACAGTTTGATAGCTGCACGGTAGTTATATGAGAAGATCTCTGATACCGGAAAATAAATATACACTGAAATACTTAGGAGTAAAGGGTCATGACATATTTAACTTATTTTCAAACAATTGAGAAAGAAGTTATGTGTGTCTGTGTGTGGAAAGAGAATGTAAATGAAAGTAAATGAGTAAAAATGTTAACAGGCAAATCCAGGTAAAGTATGTATAGATATACTATTTTCATTCTTTCAACTGCTCTATATTTTTAAAACTGTGTACAAATAAAAAAATTTTTCAAAGCTCAGTAATCCTGACTTTTTCTTGCTCTGGGCTTTCAGTTTAATTAGGAGAAGTACAAGAAAGATATGAAAGAAAAATAGTTTAGAATTCAATGACCATATACTGTTTATACAATTTTACTGTACTTTTGACCTTAGAAATAAAGAATGTGTCTCAAGCAAGTCCCCCCAAACACAAGCTATGTGCATGCACAAGCAAACACACAATGTGAGATGTGTCTATGAGGGTTCACATAGTGCCAATTTCTGATGCATGTTATTTCTCAAGCTTATAAGATGAGCTTACTACAAATTCTACATTTCCTTTGTAATTAGGATCAAGATTTAATCATCTGGCTCTGAAATGTGTGTCTGATAGAACCATGAACTTAAGCTATAATGTTTTGTATGTAGATCTAAGAATTGAGTCAAAAGAAGTTTCAAAGCATTAAAGTCACTTCCGTTCTCTGCCAGTGAATATGAATTAATTCTCCCGGAAAATCATCATTTCTCTGACTTAATAGAATCTTTGAAGCTGAATCAAGTCAATTTCCATTGTCACATTCCGAAGCTTTTGAACTGGGTGCACTGAATTACCCTACTCGGTGGCCACCTTGAAGATGACTTTGTGGTGATCCTAAAAAAACCGACAGCAGCAGTATCTGCAGTGCAGCCTTAAGACCCCACTCCATTCATTCCGTTACTTAATGAATAGCTTAAGGTAAATGCTACCTTTAAATACATATTAGTTAAAGTAGATATGAAGACAATGTCATGTGACAGAATATTGAATTGGAAATAGGAAACTTGATCTGGCCACTAATTAGGGATATGTCTTTGAGTAGGGATATGTTCTCTTTTGTACAATGAGGAACCGATTATAGATTATTCCTAGGAATTTTCTCCTCAATCTTTGATTTGCCGACAGGTAAGAATGAAAATTGAGAGTAAGAGCTTGTCATAGCCAGTCTCCAAGATGCCCATAGTGATTCTCTCCTCCAGGCTTCATGCCCTGTGAATCTACCCACATCAAATTGGGCAAACTTGCCCAATAGCCAATGGGCTATTGCAGAGATGACAAGGTGTGGCTACTGAGGATGGGTCATTAAAGATACTGTGACTTCTATTCTGCTGTCTCTTGGCTCACTTGTTCTGGAGAAAACCAGCTACCCTACTGTGAAGATACTCAGACAGCTCCATGTAGTAGAGAGGACTCCAGGCCTCTTGCCAACTGTCAGTGCTCATTTGCCACTCACAGAACTGAGCCATCCTGGAAACAGAGCCCCCAGCCCTGATCAAGTCTTCAGATGACAGCAGCCCTGACCTACACCTTGACCGTCACTCCATGAGAAACAACCAAGCCAGAATGAGTTAACTAGGCTGCTTCTGAATTTCTGACCCACGGAAATTACATAAGACAAATAATTGTAGTTTGAAGTTTCTGAATTTGGGGGCAATTTCTTATGCAATAAACATAACAAACTTCTATAGCAATATGAAGGAATAATTTAATGTCTGTTGAATCTAATGATAAAAAATTGAGCTTTTATTTTGTATGCCTTTTGATTTTTTATTTTTCCAGGCATTTATTTTTTATTGTATCTTATAAAAGTATCAGTCCCTAGGGGATAAAAAATATTTTTTTGTAATGGTCCTATTCACTGAGAGTATGAAAAGCTCTGATTAAAATAATACGTTCTTAAAGCTGGAAACAATTTTTGAAATTATCCAGTTTGACTTCTTACCCAGTGAACAAAATGTCTTACAGCATTTCCTATAATTTCCCAGCAATAAAGTTCAGATTCTTAGTAGCGTTTTTATTATCACCATTGTTATTAAACATGCCTTTTATTGAGCACTTGCCATGCTCAGGCACCTTGCCAAGCATTTCATGGTCCTTACCCAATGCAGTAGATATTTCTATCCAAATTTTACAAAAGAGGAAAGAGAGACTTGGGGTAAAGCCTGGACTTTGACTAACCCAAGTCATGTGATTCCAGACCCATCATATTACCTTTAGCTTCCATCATTTGTTTATCTCTAATAAGCTTCCTTTAATATAACCAAGCAACATGTTTTCTCTGACATTTGGAAATTGCCTTCCCACTTATTTTAAAGACAAAGAGACTGTATTAAAATCCTAATATAGCCAATTCCCCCCACCAAAAAAAATGCCAAATTTCCTGTTTACCAACTGGGCTTTTAAAATTGCATTTGATTTACCTAATAAAATGAGGGGATGTAACAGAGAAGATTGATTTTTAGAGACAAACAGGTGTGGGTCCAGTTCTCATCAGGCTTCTCATCTGTAAAATGGGGGTAATGATACTTTAGCATGTTATTGCAAAAATAATGGATAATCCACATAAATCAGTGAGAACAGTTCTAAGCATTCATGCATCTCACTTGCATTCAATAAACTTGTGTGGAGTTCACCTATGTGATAAGCATTGTTCTTGGGAGCAGAAATACAGGAGAGAACGCGGCAGACCTGAACCCACGTCCTTTATATTCTAGCAGGAAGAAAGAGGAAAAGTACATAAAAATGGGCAAGCTTATTTCGGATAGTGATTAATGAAATGAAGAAAATAAAATAGGACAATATAATAGAAAATAAAGAAATACGGAGTGCTTTTTCATTTTGGATAGGGGTTTGAAGGTGGTCCTGGAAAGGTCTTGGTGAGGAAGTGACTTAGAGCAAGGACCCAAATGATAGGAAGGATCCCACCATACAGACATTTGGGAAAAGAGAAAACAGGCAAGTGTAAGATCTTGAGCCAGGAGCAAGCTTGGTTAGATCAAAGAACAGCAAGAAGTCCAGAATAGTTGGAAAGAAAGGTGATCTTCGAGGCTAGATCACACAGGAGCTTGTAGGTCGAGGATGAACTCAGATTTTACTTGAACTGCAGGGGCAAACTTTTGGAATCTTGGAAGCAGGAGAGTGACTTATTACTGTGATGAGTGTTTTAAAAGATCACCCTGACTGAGTGTGTATTTGGGACTACAGACGGACCAGGTGGGAAGCCCTTGAATAATCCATGTGAGTGCCGGTGGTAGCTCTCCCTAGAGTGTTTGCAAAAAGGATGGAAAAAGTCAATGGATTGAAGATATACTCAGTAGCTCAACTGATTTAGCAGGCACTAACAATGATGTCTTTATTATTATTACTACTAGTAAACTAACACTAATAGGGAAGCTTCACCATCTGGGGCATTATTTTTTGTTGAAGAAATATTATCTTCTCGGGGTTTATTTCGATGCAATTTGCTATATTGTCTAAAGTTTTACATGCTTACTGTGACCAGGGGATAGGAGCTATTGAGAAAAGAAAATTCATTTGAATATAGATAAAACCTTTCCTCCATTACCTGGTGATTGAAGGGAAAAAAAGATAGTTGGTCTTAACTCCTGGGGACTTGGAGTCATTAGGAAAAAAATGAGACTTTCAGACCCTGCCTGCGGTGACTTATAATGAAATCATGGTGAGCAAATGAGCAAATCCAGCCATACCAAACAAGAGACTGTGAGAGCAGTCAGACCCAGCTGAGAGCAG